GCAAAACGGCCAAAATTGCTGACAGGACAATGTCATGGGCAAAGTACATCATTGGGGGAGGTGAAAAGTGTCCAAAATCCTGCTGGAATTTGGACACCTGCGCCATTATCAAAATATAGTAACAAATGTGCATCGGAGCAGCAAAATAGCTGCCCTGAGGAACACCCTCACCTCCATATGACCGGCGCAGTCCATATTGCTGCTGCCAGCCGCAATGGATTGCTTCAAGCATTAGGCTGCCAGCATGTATGCAATGGCCAGGCAAAGTCTCCCCACGGCAAGCCCGCACTGGTAGGGTGGGACACCCATCTGATCCAAACACAATCGGGTATGCCTCCTAGTCAAAATCCAACGGTGGTGGAGAGGCGCCCAGAGCAAAAATGGGGCAGTTGAATGCCTCAGGAAGCTCAGCATGAAATGCATGGAGGCAATTGAAGAGCTCTGTAAAGCTGGAGAACACCAAGCATCCACTGCAAGGTTCTGTCACCAGCAACTTCACATCATTCATCCCAATGCGGACAAGTAGGGCAACAAAAGTCATGTCCTTCGGCAGCTCCAAGTTGGCCCATATGCGCTCTTGAAGAGCTTCTGCAGTGAGGCTGTGACGGCCATGAACAGCAGTCAAACCGCTCATACTCCAATGAAGGCAGAAGACCAAAAACAGTTAGGACCAGCAAGCAAGGCAAAAGCAAAAGGTCAAACCTGGAAAATATTGAACGGCAAGCCTTCTGACAAGTATTAGTCATCAAAAACGGGCTGGAGTGTCCCAGACAGTTGAGTCATCCTCCCAAAAAGCAATGAAGTTTGCACATAAAGCAAAACATCGAGATAAGCAAATCCCCAATTACGAGAACTCTCTTTTGTCCTATGCTGTATCCCTGAGGGATTGCAGGCAGACAAGCTTGCACGCATCTGAAACAGTAGTCAGCTACCATACAACCCGGAGTCGGAACCTGGTCATTTCCCATGAATTGGACACAAGGCCCTACAGTCCTACGCTGTATCCCTGAGGGATTGCAGGCAGACAAGCTTGCACGCATCTGAAACAGTAGTCAGCTACCATACAACCCGGAGTCGGAACCTGGTCATTTCCCATGAATTGGACACAAGGCCCTACAGCACCACGATGGGCAAGGACGTTTGCCATGTAAGCAATAGGTTCTTCAGGCTCAAAGCGCCAGGACTTGTTCAACACCTCCAAGGAGTCCGCATCAGGAATGTTGGCAACTGAAATGAAAAGGACATCAGAAAACAGGCCAGATACTCTACAAGGTTTGGAAGACATACCCGGAGGAGCATTGGCCATCTCAACGTCAAGGGCATCTCCACACATCTGCATGACAGATGCTTGGGGCACCAGAGGCGCTGGAGCCGTGGCACAATCTGACGTTGAAGCGCTCAAGGAGCAATTTGGAGCCAGAACTGGCAGATCCCTGTTGCAAAGCAAGGCCAAAGCGGCAGCAGCAGCCGCCTCTGCAGGAGCTGGGACAATGTCCAGCATTGGCCAAAAAGAGGCATACCAGGATGGAACTGCATCTGCCACAGGTCCCCAGACAAACTCAAGACCTTGGTTTGTAGAGAAGAACGCCACCGTCAGTAATCCTGACCATACAGAAGACTGTTAGAATTGGGTAAAAACCATGATGTGCAGAAAAAATCACCATCTTGTCAGATGGCCACATCCTCAACGTCCAATTAGTAAGAACCACCGTCCGGGAAAGCCTGGTTAAGGATGGCTAGAGTGACCTGCGTTGATGAGCAAAACTGACTTGCCAAGCAACAAGTCAGTTCTTACTCCCAAGCAGAAAGGTTGACATCCACCACCTCCGAACGTTGACTGGCAGCTTCTGTAGCTGCAACCAAGGCAGTCACATCCTGGATGGCCGCCTGAACCATCACCAACCAAGAACACGCTGCCTTCATGGGCAAGTGCTCAGTGGCAATACAGGCTTCAAGAGCCAGCAGTTGTGTTGTAGTCTCCTTGGCGGACACCACCACCAGAATCAAGGCTACAAGACGTCTCCTGTCCTGAGCCGACAAGCTGGCAATAAATGCAGCATGTGCTTATGCAGTGGTGGGTAGCCACACCAAAGCAGACAATGACAAAGCAGATGATGAAGATCCAGCAGCACCTGCGCCCTCCACAGAGGTGGGGGTTGAGTCAGCATCTTCTGAAAAGGATCAAAGGAAATGAGAGGATTTGATCTAAAAGGCCAGCTTTGGTAGTCACAAACCTCCGTTGAGGGAGTCATTGCCGTTTGTTTGTTGTTGTTTTGGCAACTTGACCAAGCTCCCACTTGGCTTGTGCTTTTGCGGAGAGACCATGGTTAAACAGTTGTTCAGGTTCAGTGGTCAGGAGCAAGGTTGATTGCAGATGGCAAAGTATGCAAATGTTGATGCAGCTTGTCCAGACGACTCTAACCACTCTCGTCTTTTCTATCCGTGACGCAACAGACTTTTTATACGGTTCTGACGTCTACTCTCCTGTTTTAGTATCGTTAGTTGGTTCCCCAGATGTGTGTTACGGCCGGAGCGCCAATGTGGTTGGCCACCCTGATGCCGCATGCGGCAACTCCTTGTGAGGGTCCAGGGGTGCCACTTTGCAAACGGTCAGAGGTCACTTGATCAAAGCCTTTGGAATGGGAATGCATAAGACGCAAAGCTGGGGCACTGAAGGTGCACAAAAACATCCACCTCAATGGGGGATGCCCAACTGCTGGGGTGGAGATACCTGGATACACATGCTTGATAGCAAACTGCAATAAGACCATGGCCTGCCTCTTGCAAATACATTTCAGGGGCAGGGATCACTGCCAATGACATCAGTACAGGTACCTCAACAATTGGAACAGGGCAAGAAAGGGACAACACAAACAGAATGGAAGGGATCACTGGTCGAATAAACTTGGACATGTGGTGGCACTTGGAAACTTTTGGAAATCATTTGCTTGGAGGATCTTTCTTTTTCTGACAAGTCAATTTGGTAGCTCTCTGAGCTCCTGTTGTTAGAGCATTGAGAGTAAAACTTGAACTATTCTTGGGACTCTTGTAAGGAGGATCCGGCCTCGTAAAGGCTGATTGCTCTGTTGATTTATTTCATAAGATCTTTGTGTTTCCGGTGCCACATAAGGAGATCCTAGTGTACTGGAGAAATGAAAAGTAGAATTGGTGTTTCAAAGCACCTTCAGAAAGACTCTAAAGTTGCTGTTGCCATTTGAATAAAAGAGTAGTGTGTTAACCTAAATACTCTATACTTGTTGCAGGTTCTCTATATACGGAAATTACCCATTTTATTTCCTTCCAGGAACAAGTGGTGATTTTCTCCCTCTGCAGCTGTTCCTTGTTTTTCTCCTATGCATACAGAATGGAAGGGATCACTGGTCGAATAAACTTGGACATGTGGTGGCACTTGGAAACTTTTGGAAAACATTTGCTTGGAGGATCTTTCTTTTTCTGACAAGTCAATTTGGTAGCTCTCTGAGCTCCAATCGGCAGCTGCCAAGATGTAGAACTGAATCCATCTTCTTTTCCCTCCAGACTGGCATGGCGCTCCAATGCATGGCCATGTTCTAGCGTGCGCGCAGTCAAGGTTTCTACCCCTGGCCAGTCAGCGCAAGCGCAGAGAGGCAGACCACCTCCTCGCGCCAGCAACATCTGCGCAACCCCTTCCAGGGGTCCTTTGGATCCCGGCCAGCCTTGCGGCCAACCGGCCCAAAGGGGGGGGGGGGGATTTTGTCGGGTCATGCCGGGGCTACTTTGTAGCCCATTGTAGCGTATTTGCAAAGGATTCTAAAAACCAGTGCCTGGCACCAAGAGGTACGGAAGGGCAGGATGGAAGCTCCTGCTACCTTCCGCCAAATTTCACCTGCAACCAAAACTGGTTATGAAAGTTGTCTAAACAAAAGTTGTAGAGGAAGCCAGTGGTGCCCAGTATGGTCACTCGCTGACTTCATCTGATGAAAGAAGAATCTCCCTAGGAGTTCTGAGTCCTGGTGATTATTCTCCTGATTGTTCTGATTAGGTTCCTGATCTGTAGCGTTTGTGATGGTGCATTCAAAGTGTCTGTATTATCTGCCTGACTGTTGTTAGAGCATTGAGAGTAAAACTTGAACTATTCTTGGGACTCTTGTAAGGAGGATCCAGCCTTGTGAAGGCTGATTGCTCTGTTGATTTATTTCATAAGATCTTTGTGTTTCCGGTGCCACATAATGAGATCCTAGTGTACTGGAGAAATGAAAAGTAGAATTGGTGTTTCAAAGCACCTTCAGAAAGACTCTAAAGTTGCTGTTGCCATTTGAATAAAAGAGTAGTGGAATAAATTAGTGTAGATAAATTCAGCTGCGACCTTGCATGAAAATAAAATATTCTGCACAGGTTCACTGCAGAAAAATATCCCTGGAAAATAATTCAAGGACCTGTAGCTGAAGGAGTTTGGTTCAAGTTTCGCACTTTAAACTCCGACTCGAAACGAAGAAACGTGATTTTTTCGTTGGTGAAATATTCACTGTAATTGAAATAGAGAATATAACTCACCCGCAGCCAGAGACTTTTCCAAGTTGTAACTGAGGATCGCCAACATCAATAGAAAACTTATCTTGGGAGATAAGTTTGACATTTCAACTTGCAAAAGAATCACACTCTGAAAAATATTATGAATGGAATGAGACAACAACAAAATCTGCCTTGTGAATTTAATTCATGTGATGCTCACTAGACAGCAATCGAGCTTCAACTGACGAAGAAGGGAACAGCGAGAAACAGAGTCGCGATGTGGCTGCTTTCAAAAGGACACGTTTGCAAAATGAGCTTTACAGTGAAGACAAAGAAAAAGAGACATTCCCCCCTCTACCTTTCTTTCCTTGAAATCCTTGGATTTTTTTCTCCGTTTATTATTTATCTTGCTTTCAACAAGGCTGAGAACTGCTGGTGCATGCCAGTAATTGAATATTATATAATCCTCCCACATCATCCAAGAACTTGTCTATGGTAAGCCCAAAAAAATGGCAGAATGTGTGTGTGTGTGACTTGGATGATGTATCGACATTTTAGAACGACATATTTCAACAAATGTATTTGCAAAAAAAATCTTCTCACATATTTCCCATAATTTCAAAAGGATTTAATTGACGATAACCATTTTATTCCAATTTGTATGCACAAACTTGGAAGAAAATATTCTCAGGACAATTGGAAGGCTGATGAGAATTAATTGACAGTGTCATCAAATTTACATGAGTTGAACTCCTTCATGGAAATACTTCTGCATTTTTAAATCAACTTTCCAATGGTCATCAATGTAAACAGCAACAACTTCAGAAAATTATTTTATGTATGCTTCAAAGATGTTGAAACCATGTCATGATAGTACAGTACTCTAGAAATAGATCCAATTGCTTGCAAATCTTGAATTCCCATTGGTCCACAGATTTACTACAAAATGTCAATATAAAAATGCTAATCTGAGAATGTTTTAGATTCTTCCATTTAACTCAACCACTTCTTTTTGCCACTGATACATAACTTTAGGTACAATTATTTGGAGTTCAAGTTGTTCAAGGTCAAATTTACTGTGTTGACTTATGACTAACATGAAAGCTTGAGGAATGCCTTGTCTGTCTTGACATTGAAGAGAGAGAATAACAGATTTAATGATGCATTGCACTTCCAAAGCACTCAAGTGTATGCTACAACCTTTTTATTTGGCAAATGCTGGAAGCTGAACCATTCAAAATATTGGATCCCAAAAAGCATTTTCTCAGCTTTTCAAGCTCTTTTATGAGGAACTTGAATTGGCTACAGCAGTGAAGGTTTAGAAATAAACAACATATTAAGGCAAATGTGTTAGACTATTCAAACTATGTTTCCAAGTACTGTATTTGCTTTTTTCTCCTTTTCATGCAAAAAAGAATTATATATTTTCAGCGTTGCTTCCTGTGATGTGAAGTTTTGAATTTTGTTGTTGCAGATTTTGAAATTTTTCATTTTTTCAGCAAAATGAGTCACTAATTAAAAATGTTGCAATGTATGAAAATTGTCCATGAAGTAATTTGGTCTGCATCTTGTTGGTGCCCCCCTCTATCTTATTTTGGCTTCATTTCACATTCTTCCAGCAAACGTTCCAGCTTCAGAAGGTTTCAAAGGGAATTGCATCTGCATGCATGCAGACACCAACAGAAATGAGAAACGGCAACCTTTGTAAAGTTTCTGCGAGAAATTGAAATTTCTTACATGCTTGAAGGAATAAAAAAATATGCTTCCAAGTTAAAATTCCCTGTGGTTCTTCATCTTGACACCTTTTGCTTCTGCTTGCTAACTCCAAACAAACAACTGAAAAAGAGTGCATTAAATGAGCTTGAAGAAAACCATGTTCTCTTTCCACTATACACAGAAAAATTGTCATTGATTTGTTTGCCTCAAACCCAGAGAAGCAATAAATAATGCAGAAATTCCTGTGCGTAAATCCATGGTGATGAGCATCAGTGAGTTCTGGGATGAAAGAAGAAAAGGAATCTTGTTCATCATTTCTATCCTCATCAGCATGAAGCTCTTTTATTCCATTTATAATGATAATTATTAGACAACCATTTTCTGAACAGATTTTGATTGGCATTGGGCAATTGAATTTTTCACTGAGATTGCATCAGGACAAGGTTCAAGGCAGAATTTTTGGCAATTGGGTGCCAATAAGTTGTTGCTGCATCATGTATTTGCCCAGAATGTTTTTTTTTTTCAGTGTTATACATAAGTACCACTGATGAAAAATGAAGTTAAAGATGTTCACATTGAGAGAAACACTCACTGAAGGATGTATGTCAAGTAAAAAAAAAACTTGATACAGCAATAAAGTAAACATCAAATGGACCTTTCCAACAATCCAAAACTAGGAAAACCAAGCACAGAAAAGCAAATAAATTCTGCAACAGAAAAACACATGCAAAATCTAGCTGTGAAAAAATTTGAAACAAAGGATTAGATGACAATTTAACCTGTCAGAAGAATAAACTTTTCATATGAGTGAATAAATTAATTATTCACACTTGAGTTGTACCAACCATTTTAGCAACAAAATGAAATTTTGGAACTCTCATACATTATAAGGAATTTTTCCACAGTTAAAAACTGCGTTAACTAAATTCTTGGTTATTAAAATGTAATGAGAGATTTTTTCCTGGAAAGCAAAAGTTTGTTACTTGAAATTCGGCTTAATAAGTGAGGGGTTTTTTCCTGGTGGAAACCAAATGTTTGTTGACCAAAATTTTCCTGGACTGGATGGTTTGTTACATGAGGGTCCACAGTGCAACAATTTGCAGAGGGAATTTTTATTGAAATATTTTTAATTCACCAGAGTCCAAGTAAAATCCAACCAACGAACCCCAAATCCCAACCTCTGATTATTTATTAGGTGATGTACTCAATCTCAATGACTGAAATGTCAGGTAGATGTCGCTTGAGTCCCTGAACTCGGTGAGAATAACCCAATTTTCAACATTCTGAAAATGACTTTTTTCAAAGGTCTTCCATCAATTCTGTTTATTTTTTTAAATATAAAAAGTTGTCAGGTATAATAACCTGCTAGTGTTTATTAGCCTCAATGAAAAAAAGGAAAATTTGCTTGCAAATCAAATTTCTTGAAAATTAAAGAAGCCATGCAATATCAGATGGTATGTAAGCTTGAGTCTATCCTAAAAGGTTAATCTCAAATGCTTTTATCAGACATGTCTGATTCAGACACCCTTGGACTGATAAGAGTTGTTGGGATTAGTTTCATAAAATCCAAAACACCTTACTTTCCAGAAAGATTTTGCTGGTCAAAAGAATTCATCCAATTTACTTTCAAACTTGACTCCACGAGATTTTTGTCTTGAATCCATGGTTTTTTGTTGGGATTAGTTTCATAAAATCCAAAACACCTTACTTTCCAGAAAGATTTTGCTGGTCAAAAGAATTCATCCAATTTACTTTCAAACTTGACTCCACGAGATTTTTGTCTTGAATCCATGGTTTGAGCGCGAATTTAAGAGCAATAACAGTCCTCAACAATTTTATCAACAGAAAATTTCAACAGCCAGGGAGTTTGTTGAGCAAATTTGATTCTCTCTCAGCTTTCAATTGGAACAATATCGATCAGTTCCTGGCACCAAGAAAATGAGTGAAAATTTAACTGAAAGGAAATTTAGGACCACCAAAAAATCAGAATGAGTTGCTGCATCATCCAGGACACTGAATGTGTTCAGAGTATTTTTTGGTTGGTTGGCAGAAGTTATCACTGAGAAAACAAAACTTGTAATGCATCACATCCAGGGAAACATAAATACATGCAGAAGAATTGATAAAATGTTACTTTTACATATTTTTAGGCTGTACCTATACTGAAGACAAAATTGAGCCGATCAAAAATTGAACAAACTAATAGAAAAGCCTTTCTCAGGATTGCATTTATCCACAGCCTCTCCAACTGCTTTATCTCAACATTCACAAACACCCTTATCACATGAACATAGAAGCCTCTTAGTTTGCATCACATACTGATAGTGGGGATCCCCCTTAGAAACATGGAACCTGTCTGGTTTTCAGGTGTCAGTGCGACATTTTTCCTGTCTGGTTTGTGAATCCTTGACAGTTGGCCTTATCATGCAGACCAGGGCAGCCTGTATGCTTACTTTGTAAGTGAGTTACCACTGGTATGAGTGACATATACTGTATGTTTAAGTTTTGTTGGGATTAGTTTCATAAAATCCAAAACACCTTACTTTCCAGAAAGATTTTGCTGGTCAAAAGAATTCATCCAATTTACTTTCAAACTTGACTCCACGAGATTTTTGTCTTGAATCCATGGTTTAAGTGCAAATTTAAGAGCAATAACAGTCCTCAACAATTTTATCAACAGAAAATTTCAACAGCCAGGGAGTTTGTTGAGCAAATTTGATTCTCTCTCAGCTTTCAATTGGAACAATATTGATCAGCTCCTGGCACCAAGAAAATGAGTGAAAATTTAACTGAAAGGAAATTTAGGCCCACCAAAAAATCAGAATGAGTTGCTGCATCATCCAGGACACTGAATGTGTTCAGAGTATTTTTTGGGTTGGTTGGCAGAAATTATCAATGAGAAAACAAAACTTGTCATGCATCACATCCAGGGAAACACAAATACATGCAGAAGAATTGATAAAATGTTACTTCTGCATATTTTTAGGCTGTACCTATACTGAAGACAAAATTGAGCAGATCAAAAATTGAAAAAACTACTAGAAAAGCCTTTCTCAGGATTGCATTTATCCACAGCCTCTCCAACTGCTTTATCTCAACATTCACAAACACCCTTATCACATGAACATAGAAGCCTCTCAGTTTGCATCACATACTGATAGTGGGGATCCCCCTTAGAAACATGGAACCTGTCTGGTTTTCAGGTGTCAGTGTGACATTTTTCCTGTCAGGTTTGTGAATCCTTGACAGTTGGCCTTATCATGCAGACCAGGGCAGCCTGTCTGCTTGTAAGTGAGTTACCACTGGTATGAGTGACATATACTGTATATATAAGTGTGATTTGGTTACTGTATGAGGATAGGGACCAGATGTGAATAGAGTATTACAATAATTGCATTAAAGGCAGGCAATTATACTTGTTCCAAGTAGTCATGATTCCTCACATTATCGGGAGCTTGTTTCTATTACTTTTCTCTTTATTGTGGCAATAAAATAATATCCAAGAGATTGCATAAAAGCTTAAGGTTAGGGAGTTTTTAATGCATTGTCTTTGAAAAGGAATGGAGACACAGGGGCTTTCAAAAATTCAACTCAGGGAGGTACTTGACATGGTCAAGTTATCAAGGTTCAACTGTATTAAAACAAAATATTGATACATTTTGTCAAGGTTCAAGATCAAATGTTCAAACATGTTTTATTGAAGGGCAATGAATTCCAAGATTTGGAAAAAGGAAACAGCACTGTTTTTGTTCTTTTTGTTAACCATATAAATTTTAGTAATTTGAGAGATGAAAATTCCAACTTCTTGGGCAAAGAACATTCCAAATTTTATAATCCAATGCCTATCAAGGATAATTTGTTTCTCTCTACAACAAGTAACACATGTTCCCTTCAACAACTTGAGCAAAATCATGATTTTCATGATTGAGATTTTTCTGAAAAATGCTGAAGTGTTTTATTTTGCGATGATTCATTTTATTCAAAAATTTTGTTCCTGAACTCTCTTTTTCCATTGCTTCAGTGTTCTTCAAAGTGTAAACAAATTTTTTCAAGTGCATTCAAAAACAAACTTGTATGAGTATGAATTCTTCTGTACATGCAAGTCATCAAAAAAGCAATGAGTCTAATGAAAAGGTAGAAAATGAGTTCAATATAATGAAGTAAAAGCTAATTCTTTGTAGCCACGTCTTTCACTTGTATTTTCTAGTCACATAAGGACACAGCCAAGGTTTTTATGCCCACATATAAGGATGTTCAGCTTTAATTGAGTTCCTGTCAGCCACAGAATGTATATGACTCATGTTCAGCAGTACCCATTACTGTTTTTGAAAGAGGCAGCAATAGAAAAATGTTTGATGTGCATCACTGAATTTTTAAACGGCGAGGAAAGGTACAGAACTATTTCAGAAGCACAAAAAATTTAGTAGATTAAAAAATTAATCTAAAAAACCACATTTTCAAAAAGCAAAAAATAACCTTAAACGTGGTGCGCATCTATTTCATTTGTATTTCACTTCTTCCCAACAATCTCCATGGGCACCACGTTTAAAGTTATTTTTTGCTTTTTGAAAACGTGGTTTTTTAGATTAGTTTTTTAATCTACTAAATTTTTTGGTACTTTTTAGTCTTACTTGAAAAACATGGTTTTTTAGATTAATTTTTTAATCTACTATAATTATTTTATTCTTTTTAAAAAATATTCTTATAATTTTTCTTTTCACAAAAGATTGCATTGTCATCAGTTTCTGAACTATCCTGAAAGTTTCAGCTTGCTAGCTAGTCAGAAAGTGAGCGAAATTTGAGTTTCAAAATTTGATCTGGACAAACAGACAGAAAGACAAGAAAGTGAGTTCATAAAAACGTGGTAAAAAGGCAGGACATCTTGGAATGATTGTCAGAATTTGAAGTGTCACTTGAGAGCCTTGGTAGGTTTTTTTCAATGAAATAACATCCCATCAGTATTTTTCATAGCAGCAGTAGACAGCAAGAACTTTCCAGTTCCTTATTCTTTCAACTTTCGTGTTCCTTCGTTTTTTCAAGAAAAAAGTTAAACAATTTTGAAATTTCACAGTTGACAGGAGAAAACATTCTATTTTCGCTTGTGTCGTTGAGTGCGGGGAACAAATCGGTGACGCAAACTCACGTCCAAGTAAATTTTTCGGAATTTTCTTCTCAAAATTCCAGAATAAGGTACATTACTTGTGATTTTCTCCCCTTCACTCGCTTGGGTAAGAATCACAGCTTCTGATTCTTGAATTTATGCTTGAATTCATTTCCTGGAGTGGTTTGGAGGTACAGAATGAGTAAATCATTCTTTTTTATTTGAATTTGAAGGAGTGGTCGGTCGGTTCTGGCAACTGGAGGACATTTCATTACCGCATAGACTCACTCTACTCTATTGAAAAGCAGTCTGGACGCCGAAAGGGCGTCCTTCAGAGAGTTCAGACATCCGCCTTCCACGAGGAAACCACTTCGGGCCTGACTCCCAGCTTTTGTTGCTGGTGAGTGTACATTTCTAGTTTCTTTTGCATTTTTTTTTGGCACCTGTTGAAAATGGCAATTGGTAATCCTCTGTGAGAAAATATTTTAGGGTCCCCAAAAATTAATGTTCACCATCATGTGGGATTTTTGGATTTTCCCAAGAAAATCATGTATTATGCTGGAATAATACCAATCCTGAGACTACTTGAATTTTCTATTTTCCTCATGTGAACTTGAGAAACATTTCCACTTGCCTTGTATAATTTTCTTTCAATTTCTTTCAAGTAATTTTAATTTCCTTGCGGTGAATTTATCTTTGCAATGAATATTATGTTTGCGAAGTTGGGGAGACAATCACCACAAGATAAGGACAACAAGTTGGTAATTGGAGATAAGAAGGATTTTAGTTTGAGAAAAACACAGACTCAGTCGGGTTGTCGGGGAGAATGACTGGAAAATCTTGGTATAGAATCTCTAGTTTAACTTCGAGATGTATTTCAATTGTCCCAGATGTTGATAAATTGTTCAAGGCTTTGAAGAACAAGCTCAAGATACATCAGGTGGTACCTTGCTTTCTGACTGAAAGATCAAAATGATCAAATTGTTTTATGATCAACTTGTGGGAGGTTGAATTGAATTGCAATCATTGCAAGATACCACCTGTACAAAATTAAAACCACAAGTAAGCCTCTCGGCAAGATCTCAATTTTTGAACTGGACTGTTTTCAATGGCAGCTCAAGACAGACTGATGATGGTTGGGAATAAAAAGGGAATTTGATCAATTATTTTAACAGTGCTTGGTCAAATACTCTGCTCTGAATCAGGCACATTTTTAGAGACCTATGATTGCCCAGAATAATCAGTGTCAAAGACAATGCTGGGGAAGAAAGGCTTGGAAGAAACTTCTCAAAGTTGATTCTGTTTTGTTTTTTTTACAATGATCATTTTTATCCTGGAGTGGTTTTTCCACCAGATTCATTCTTGCCTAGATTAAAGAGGCACGTATCACACTGTCATGGCGGGTTCCCAACCCACCATGTCACTCTTGGGGGAAAAGGAAACCACAGGACTTGTCAGATATCCACTGAATTTTCAGCTTAATTTTGTGCGTGTTCAGAATATGAATTGAAATTAATTTTTGGAATCACTCTGTGATATTTGTATCATTTGGATTTTATGCTAATTCTTATAAATTTGACTTCTTAATTAGATGCACTATGAATATGAAGCATTTTTGTAAAACAGTTTGGGTTATCATTTTCATGCAATTAACAGCTTACTTTATTGTATTTTATTCATAATATTCCTCCAATTTTTGTCTTGCATTGAATTTGTGTCATTTTTTCATATCTTGTTATGATGCAAACACCTCACTTTTTTAGCATCAAATTCTCAAGGGAATTCTCAAGTTTCCAGGCATCATTCTATTTTGGATTTTGTACAGTAAAGTCATATACCCCAATTTAGAGCCATTTGTCCTGGCGCATTTTTTGGCAGTAAGTAAGGGTGGCACTGAATTGAAGGTATCCAATCTTAATGAAAATCTTTTGAGGGGTCCTAATATATACAGTAGGTGAAACAGGTTTTTTTTTGAAAATGTGTAGGTCATTGAGCCTTTTCCTTTTTTTAACAAGAAAGCCGCATCAATTATTGGAGGCTCAAAGGAGCCATTTTTCTGCATTTAAATTTATTTGATTGTACAGTATTTTTGAAAATATTGACTCAAGTAAAAGAGTGGAACTGCTTTTTGCCAATTTGTATCAGCCTTCAAATAAAAGCACAAAATGCCATCATCAGCTGGAGGAATTTTTCAATTTTAAAGGGCTTGTCCCAGGTATTGAGAGATTCTTTGCAGCACAGGACAGCAAAATTAAACTGCCCAATTGTATTTAAATTCAGAAATATCATTATTTTAATTATCTTAAGCTACATCATGCGATGCGATTCTCAGGAAAGTCCTGATGATATTTTTGGAAAGATGCCCTTATTTTCTCTTTTTTTGTTGGCTGTTACAAAAAAGAGAAAAAGAGAAAGAATGCCATGTTGATTTCAAGAATTCTGAAAGAAAAGCTGGGCTTAAAAAAAAAAAAATCTGCAGGAAGGCACCTCATCTTTTGAGTGGAGAGCAAAACTCTGCTAGGGTAAATTTTAAAAAACATTGAAACAAATTGTCAAACAGGATTGATTTTTTGGGTGAAAGAATATGTTTTCCGTAAAGATTAATTTTTTTTTCAGTTGAAATGTATGACATCTTTTGCATAATTGCATGAACTTTTGTCAGGACCCTTGTACATGTAGAGTCTGCATCTCTGGTTTGATAAGGTTTTGAAACCTTTTTTTGAAAAACCAATTTTGCCCGGAATATCATTCAGATTATATCGTTTGACTCGGCTTTTTTTTTTTAAACTCATCAGCATCAGTTGCAGTGTCGTCCGTATTCAACCTCTTGGCTGGCAAGTTGTATAAGCCCTCGACCAACAGTAGCAAAGGTCCGTTTCCACTTCCATCAAATTCTTGGACAAGTCCTGCGTTGCAGAAGGATCCAATCGTTGAGGAGCCATTTGTGCGACCATCAAGGCCCCGCCTTCTGCTGGTCCGTTCCGCATCATTCGGACCAATCCGGAAGAAGAACACGTCTGACCCTCCCTTCAGGGATGGAGGAACCCTCGTCTGATCCAGCCTCTTCTTCATCATCACTGCAGCCCATCAACATCGCCTCTTCAGCACCTGAAACCATTTCTGCTGTTGGTGAACCACAGCTGGGCAACAGGCCCACTTTTGAAACATCGAGTGCTAATGATGATAATAATGAGTCAGCATCATCCATTTCCACCCCAGGCCCTTGCAAATTACCACTTTCCGATGATGCTCCCAATGGGGAAGAAGCACTGATTGAAACTCTGAAAAAAGGGGCTGCAAAAGCAGAAGATCGTGGAGTTGAGGGGTTATCAGAGGCAGATGAACTCTTAGTCTTGAAACCCCCAATAGACAAAACAACAAACATGGATGAAATTGTTATTCCTCCAGCTGCCACTGTTGAAATGCGTCCTCTGTGTTCTTCCGATAGTGAGATGATGCGTAGTAACGATGAGCAGTTGGAAAGAGACGAGGAATTAATTAAAGCCATTACCGGAGCAAAGAAGAACCTCGCGTGCAAAAATGGAAACGGCGACACGCTTTCACAATTAGCAGAGCGTCTTGAGAAACCGGAAATAATTGAAGCATTATTCGAACGTGATCCGGTTCAAAAAAACAAAGCTGCCGATTCTCCTTTGAAAACTGAGCAAAACGAACCATTTCCCAGCACGGGGTTTTACAAAGGAAATTCACTGGGTGCTGGAGATTGTTTTTTTGATGCCTTTGCACAAGGCATAATTAAGCAACATTCCAACAAGTCAAAAGCATTTGAATTTAAAGAGAATGGAGAATCAGCCGTGAGGAAATTGAGACAAGATTGTTTCAATTTTATCTCTCATCACCGAGACACTGTTGATGAGAAAACGAAGAAAACGTGGCAAGAAATCATTGCAAAAGACGCAAAAGGTGGAGGTTATATTTCTACAAATGAACCCGGAAGTGAACAATCCCACTTTGTCAATTACTTATTGCGTGTCAGGTTGACAGCAGCGGAAATAATGACTAACCCTTTGTTGGGGCCAACTATTTGGGGTCGTCCAGAAATCGAAGGACGAATTTTATGCGGGGAATATGGAGTCAAACTTCACGTGATTGAAAAACACGAGGTTGACAATCAATTGCTATTTGCTCATCAGCTTATTGGAAGCAATTACTCAAAATCTATCGACGAGAAAACGGTTTATGCCCTTTACAATGAACCAAATGTCATTCATATCATCAATGAAGGGAGAAACCATTTTGAACCCGTTTTACCAAGTTCACCTGCTGATGGTGAAAAACAAGTTTTAACTTTACCTTATTCTGGGGAATCAAAAACACCTTCCCAAGAAAACCCTGAACGCATTATTCAGGCAGCGCCATCTGTTGATGAGAAAAACAATCAATTCCTTGCAAAATATTCCAAACAATTCAACTCGAATCAGCGTCCAAAATTGGCAGAGGATTGGTCAGAAACTATCGACGAAGCAAAGGCAAATGCTGACTTTAAAATCCTGAAAATATCCACTGATGAAACATTGGACCAAGTTTTGGAATTTATGCAGCAAGATTATTTTTGTCAAACCTGTCAAGAAGCCACGCACTGGTTCATTACTATTGTGGAAATGATCATTGATGACAAAAATAATCTTATTCCAGACTTTCTGCAATTTTTGGCAGAAAAAATCCCAAA